GTGTGTGTGTTGTGTGTATGTGTGTTGTGTGTGTGTGTGTGTGTGTGTGTGTGTGTGTGTGTGTGTGTGTGTGTGTGTGTGCGCGTGCGCGTGTTTGCGTGCTTGTGCACGTGCTTGATTGCGTGCGTGTGCGTGTACGTATGCATATGGGTGTGTGTGCGCGCGTTTGTGCGTTTTGAGACGGCGAGGGGGTTCAAAGGTGGGAACGCCGCTGGGCCCGCATCAGGCATGCGAGGCGCGGGCGTAGGCTCGCGGCCTGCGCCCGCCGCGGCCCCTTCGCCGGCGCTCCCGCATCGGCTGGCCAGGGAGCCGCGCGCCGCGCGGGCCCGCACCTTTGTGACGCGGTATCCGACCGCCTGCACCATGTTCTTGGCCATGTCGTGCGTCAGCGGCCGCGACTGGCGCTGCTTGTTGATCTCCTTGAGGAGCGCGTTAGACTCGGCCTCGCCGATGTGCACAGGGATGACGTAGCCGCTGCCGTCCAGGATTCGCAGGTATACCACAGACGACCCCTGGCTGACGCGCACGCTGTCGACCTTGACCTGCCGCCGGGGGGCGGGGGCGCATGTGCGGGCGCGGGGACAAACATGGATTGGGCGCTGGCGACAAGAGGCCCATTGCACACGCGCGGCGGGGTGATGGCGCCACTGGTGGCGCCGGCGAAGGCAGCATAGCGAGCACACACACGTGTGCTGCGGAGGCGTTTGCCGATACCCGCTCAGCAAAAGAGCAAAGCGCAGAACCTCCATTGGGTGTTCGGGACGAGGACTGCTGACTCGTCATGGCCCATCACCAACCGCAAAAGCTCCGCACCTCGACATATCCTTCCAAACTGTCTTCTTGTGCTGCTCGCACAAGTGGAGCCCTCCTCAGGCCAGCCCGCAGGCCGGGATTCAGAATCGCGCGGGTCGCGCCCGAGAAGGGAGCTCTGGTCAGTGAGTGAGCTGCTTGCATGACGCTGAGCTGCTGGTAAACTGCTAAGACGGCTTGGCAGGCAGATCAGATCGTGCACCGTTTTTAGAGGAGCTGCACCCCCTGTACCGTGAACATAAAAGCACAGGGTGCAACGATCAAGTTTTTGCACGCGTCTCGAGTCTAACGGTTGCGCAAAGCAGGCAGCCCGATGCGCTGGCGCCCGCCCCCCCGCCGGTCGTGCACAGCGTGCAGGTGTACTCATGGACGACGACGCTGTACTCATGTACAGAGCCGTCAACAGAGGAGAAAACTGGGTCGAATGTTGGCATCTAAACAACCACACCAGTTTTGCAAGGAGGCTGAGTGGGGGCCTTCAGGGCAACAGCGTCAGGGCCAGCTGGTCGGTGAACTGGCAGCAAGGTGTGGCGCGAAAAGCACATGGGTGCAGGCCGAGTTCACTTCCGGCTGCCGTAGCCCAAAGGGCAGACTGTGAGGCTGCTTGCACACCACTTTGATTACGGAGGCGGCTCAGCGGTTTGATGAGACTGAGAAGTTCCTGCAGGGCTGTCATTTTTGGGAGGCAAAGCGCCCAGGAGTTGCCTCTTGTGTCGCAAGCGTTACCAAGGGGGCGCTGCAGCATTCTGAGGCGGTGACAATGTCGAGGGCAGTAATAATCAAGGAGGACAGCCACAGGACGAGCGGCGCACGCGACACCTGGCGAGAAATCGCACATCTTCAGGAAGCACACGGTGAAAAAATGCGAAGACACACGCACCGCCGACGCACTGCGACGCCGAACGCAATATTCTCGCTTGACCAATAATTAATAATAATAACGCGTACGACAAGCAGGTGAGGAGGCAGCAGCGTACGCGGCCAAGCGCGCTCGTGGGCGGTGAGGCACAGCTAGCTGCGCGGGCGTGGGGCTGCTGCATTTGCGGGCCGGGGTTCAGTGTCTGGGTGGACGACGGATTTGCAAGAATCACGCGCGGTGTCGCGCGAACCGCCTCTTGGCTTCACAGCGGCATTCGAGCAGGGCTCGTCGCGACGCGCTCGCCATGGATGGTTGTACCGCTGGTGAGCGGCAGGCTGCGTGTGCGTGCTCGCCATCAGAGGGGCACAAGAAGGGCCTTGGGAAAATGCAACTCTATACATCACAAACGCCTGGAAACAGGGCCGTGGGCATGTGGCTGCAAGGCTGCTATAGCCCGCCAAAACATCGCGCGTGTTCTTGCGAGTGTGATTGTGTGAAGTTTTGTTTGCGCTGTGTGATTGTGTGAAAGATGTGGGCGCTTGGCCACGCGCGTCCCTCCCAGCGATGCCCGGCTCGCGCTAACGGTTGTGCCGAGACACATTCGCAGCGCTGTGCGCGCCCACAGCCATGCGTAATCGCAGTGCCGTTAGGCGGGTCATACGTGCGAGGTGTGTGGAGTATGCCCGGGGCAGATACACGCCAGGATGCAGCCAGACAAAGCCGAGCGCGCCGGCGCCCCTATGCTGGAAGCGCACCGCCAAGCGCACGCGCTGGAGCGCGTGCGGCGCTGCCTTGCACTTGGCGTGTGCTTACAGCTTCTTGGGGGCCGGGGTCGCTGGCTTCCTCACCACCTTTCCAAGGACGGGCGAGACGCCGGGCGTGGGCAGGTCAGAGTCGGTCGGCTGGGGAGACGGCTGCGGGTCGGGCGACGTCTGGGGGGACGGCTGGGGGGCGGGGGATGTCGCAGGCGACGGCTGGGGAGCGGGCGACGTCTGAGG